ACACCTACCATGGCCGTAGAAGCACCGTGGAGCTCACACGCTCCTCCAACTGGGCTCTCGCTACCACTGCAGCCCTGTCCATGCACGCCGATGAACCCACGCCGCTGTTCACTGTGAACGGAACCCTAGGAAGCCTCAGTCGCCACCTTGACCCCACCACTGCACTCGCCGAGGCTTGGCGACACTTTTGCCTACCTTAATCGCGCACCAGTACCGCCCGAGAGGCTCACCGGCGAGCTCACCGCCGACGGGAGCGTCGGGGACGATGGGGAATTCTCCCCGCCTGGTTCACGTACGCATGCACCCGGTCCTGGTGAACCAAACGGAGGAGAAGGATCGGTGGACCTAGACTACGTAGACCATGTCTGTGGTCCATGAACCAACACCGCGCAGTCCACCATGCACCGGATCGGTGGACCAGAGCCCAGTAGAGGCCCAGGGTCGTGACGTGGCCGCACCAACACGTGCCATGTGGCGGGCCAAGCCTGGCCCAAATCCAGGCCCAACCAGCCCAGTCGAGGCCCGGCCTGTATTAACCATTGACCGGTCAACGTTGCTATTGACAGGGGCCACATGTTAGTGACACCGCCATGCGGGACCCACTTGTCAGAGGATGAAACAGTCGAGATGACGTCAGCGGGACCCCACCTATCAGTACCAGAACCGAGACGATGATGTCATGCTGATGTCATGACGTCAGCATGCCACGTGGACCAACAGGAGCGTGACACGTGTCAGCACGATATTAATTCAGCCTTTTCCCATTTTCAGAAATGCTTGAAACTTCAGAAATTCATAACTAATTCATACGAACTCAGAAAAATACAAGATCAGGACCAAAATTCATCTAAAATCGAGCTCTACGCAATGAACCCATGTTTGAGTGCATTTGGCTCTTTTGAATTTTCATTGCTTTTTGTGCTATTCTATAGACGTCGCTAACGCGATTATAATGCGATCGTTTGCAGACTCGAGGAGAACCAGATGGACGAGGACCGTGAGTACCGTGAGGAGTACAGAGATGACTACACTGAAGGTGCCACATCCCACCCAACCTCGTAGCACCTATTACACATGGCTAATATAGAACTGCTATTGCTTTACTTTATTGTTATATTCACACTAAGATAGGACTTGCATGGTAGTATGCTTACTTGATGGCCTATACCTTGACGCAATCTTACCCCTGCTTACCCTGCTATTAGGCTAGACACACGCTTGCTGCTATATTTCATTGCTTAATACTTCTACTACGCTTGTACTATATTGATGCGTGGTGGAAACTGGTGTTATCTGGACTATGGGGAGAGTGCTGCGTGTGTGACTTGGGTGCGTGGAGGGTGAGGGTTGTGTCGACCAAGTTGGAATATACGACGAGCCTGGGGCAAGTCTTGCCGTGGGGTGCTACCTGGGCACCCCTAGAAATGGATACCTATGGTGGGTAAATGGTATATATGAGGGGGCCCTGGGTGTGAACCTGTGATGGGAGGAGCACGGGGTGGAGGTGTCGTGGTGGCACGGTAAATGGAAACCCTGATGAAGATATTCTAGCTTGGTCATTCCTAAGGACTTACTAGTACTCAGATTCACCGGGAAGCCTTATGTACCACTCGCCCTATATGGTGCGGGATGGCCGGACTACTTGGTAGGATATTGCCACTACTGCTAGGTTGATAGCGGACAGTGCGAGGAGGTGCGGGGCATGGAGGATTCCCTCCCCCCCACACCCTTCCGAGACTTCATGGAGACCTTGTGGACCCGACTCGTGACTCATAGTTCCAGCCACCCCAGACTAGACTTGGGGTGTACCAGGGCTGAATGGTAGGGTGGCATTATCCTAGGCTAGCAAGCGGCCGGAATCAGCCCAGTTGACGATGGTCAATGAGGAAGGCGGATCTTGTGGTTATGTAAAACCTTTGCAAAGTGTATGGTTGATCGATCGATACATATGCCGACTTGTCAGCTATGGACCTTTCCTGGGTTTCGCTTAAACTAGATAGCGAGATGAGTCCTCTTCTTCCCCCATGAGAGAGTGTCGGTCGTAGCCAGGGGCTACGGGCCATGAGACAGTGCCAAGAGGGAGTTGGCCTGTTGACTGAGCGATGGTGTGGTGATGATATGGAGATGGTGGTATATCAATCCCAGGATCAAAACCTGGCTCTGGACGGAAATGGGGTGGAATGTGTGTGGGAATGGTGTTAAAACTTGACTATACTATTATATACTTGATATGCTAATACATAGAAAACCCTAGCCTTATAGGTTCCTTCTGATTATATCCAACTTGCATCCAATTTCCACAAAGCATAGCTCATAGGGTGGGAGTGGCCAGTACAAATCGTACTGATAAATTTTGGCACATAGGTTCTGCTGAGGAGTATAGCTCTGAGGAGTTTGACGATTGAGGGGTTCGTTCCTACGCTCGAGTTTGGTGATCTTATCTTCAAGCTGTTCTGAATGAATGCTACTTTTGATTTCGCCAATGCAGTGATGTAATAATTTATGTAATTCCGCACTATTTGTACTATGATATTATCGTTGTATGGATGTGGTATTCGACTGGAATTTGGGTAATATGATCTACAACGGTCATAATACACTTCGACTCTGTGGATTTCCCTTTCGCAGAAATTAGGTCGTTTCATTCACGAGGTGTGCAACCGAGCACGCGCTCTACACGCGGCGACGGGGGAAGGAGGAGCTCATCGTCGGCATGTATGTGGACGACTTGCTCATCACCAGTGCGCATGTGGAGGACATCGACAGCTTCAAGCACGAGATGGCGGCTCGTTTTCGAATGAGCAATCTCAGGGCGCTCTCCTACTACCTCGCCATCGAGGTGAGACAAGGGAAGGAGGCACTCATGCTCGGTCAGAGTCCATATGCCTCGAAGCTGTTGGAGCGGAGCGGCATGGCTAAGTGTAAGCCATGCATGACTCCGATGGAGGAGCGACTGAAGCTGTCGAACGCCAGTACCGCGGCGAAGGTAGATGCAACACTCTACCGGAGCATCATCGGCGGTCTACGCTACCTAGTCCACATGTGGCCGGACATTGCGTTCGTCGTGGGCTACGTCAGTCGCTTCGTTGAGGATCCCAGAGAGGATCACTGGGCTGTAGTGAAGCGGCTACTGCGCTACATCAAGGGGACGGTGGATCAGGGGATCGTCTTCCCCAAGATCGGCGGAAGTAGGTTGCAGCTCACTGTGTTCAATGATGCAGACATGGTGGGGGACATCGACGGACGGCGGAGCACCTCTGGCGTGCTCGTCTTCCTCGGGTATGTAGCGGCGGCCACAGCGGCGTGCCAAGTTGTGTGGCTGTCGCTGAAACAGAAGGTGGTGGCGCTATCTACGTGCGAGGCAGAGTATGTAGCGGCGGCCACAGTGGCGTGCCAAGTTGTGTGGCTGCGCCGGCTGCTGGACGAGCCGACCAGTGCGGAAGCTCACCCACCAGCACTGATGGTGGACAACCAACCCGCCATCGCCCTCACGAAGAATCCGGTTCTCCATGACCGGAGCAAGCACATCGATGTTAAGTTCCACTTCCTCAGGGACTGTGTCGATGGAGGGTAGATTGTCATTGAGTTCGTTGAAACTGGTCAGCAACTCGCGGACGTCCTCACCAAGCCGCTCGGCCGTCTTCGACTCATGGAGCTGAAGCAGATGATCGACATGGAGGGAGTTCAAGGGTTAGCAGTAGGATTAGGGGAAGAATTGTTAGATAATCTACTGCTTCCTTGTGTGAACACACGACAGGGGAAGGCGGCGTGGAAAACGCTCCCTGCTGTGGTACTGTAGCCGCTGCAGGGGCAGGCGCCGAACGGCTCACCCACCTCACTGTAGCCACAACAGGAGCAGGCGCCAGAGGCAGCCCTGCTGTCACATCTAGTCACTGTAGCAGCATGACAACTATACTAGGACTAGATAGATAGAGTTGTATAAATAGTTTGCCACTGTAACTCAGTAAACAGAGAGTTCAGATTTGCCATCTCCTATACAGAGCTCCGGCAAACGCTGGTGTCTCTGCTGTGTGTGTATGCTCTGTTCTCCCTCACTTTCTTCTACCTCTAGCCATAGTGTGTGGTCGGACAACGTTTGTTGTGGTCGCCAAGATTGGTGAGTGGTCGACTCACCTGAGCCGGTGATCCTGTGGGCCAACACCCAGGGCCTGGAATGCTAAATTAGATCAAGAGCTTGTCAAGCTGGGGTTTTGTAGAAGCGAGGAGGAACATGTAGTCTACAAAAGAGGCGGTGGTAACTCACTGTTATTGCTAGGAGTGTATGTTGATGATCTCATCATCTGTGGGCCTGATAACAGCAAGCTTGCTGAATTCAAACAATAGATGAGCAAGACCTTCAGTATGAGTGACTTGGGCTTATTGAGCTATTATCTGGGAATGGAAGTGAGACAGAGACCTAGAGAGATTACTATCTGCCAAAGAGCATATGCAGCAAAGATTGTTGAGTAATGTGGCATGACAGGCTGCAATCCAGTGGACACTCCAATGGAACAAAACAGTAAACTGTTACCTAGGAGGCCTGATCTGGCAAGAGATGTGACAAAATTCAGGAGTATTTAGCGAATACTAGACCAGACATTGCCTTTTCAGTGGGCATGGTTAGTAGCTTCATGGAGTCTCGCACTACTCAACATTGGGCTGCTATAAAGAGGATTATTAGAACATTGGGCTGCTATAAAGAGGATTGTTAGATACATAGCAGGCACTACTGAATATGGGTGAAGATATGTGAGTAGATCCTCTTCAGTCCTGAAACTGTTGGGATATTCTGACAGTGATCATACTGGTGACCTTGAGAAGAGAAAGAGTACCTCTGGAGTTGTGTGGGATATTCTGACAGTGATCATGCTGGTGACCTTGAGAAGAGAAAGAGTACCTCTGGAGTTGTGTTTTTCCTGAATGGCAATGTGGTGACATGGACTTCACAGAAGCAAAGGGTGGTGTCACTGTCTAGCTTATATTGCAGCAGCTTTAGCAGCATGTCAAGGGGTTTGGCTAAGCAGGCTCATTGCAGACCTGACAGGAAGAGGTGTGCAGAGATTCAGGCTTCTAATGGACGGCAAATCGGCTCTGGAATTGAGCAAGAATCCAGTGTATCAAGAGAGAAGCAAACACATTGATACACGGTATCATTACATCAGACAATGTATCAGTGATGGCATTGCAGAAGTTGAGCACATTAGCACCGACAGACAGCTTGTAGACATCCTGACGAAGCCACTTGGGAGGATCAAATTCGTCGAGATGCGTAAACAGTTGGGCGTCGGCAATGTGTGTCACGATTAAGGGGGTGAATTGTTGATTTAGCCTCTTGTAATCGTGACAGTTTGTATCAGCACGTTAGGTGCATTTGGTAGTTCAATTATGTTCTGAACACGCTTGTAATTCGCGTAGAATCGTGGGCAGGGGCGGAGACTGCACGCCACTGCGTCATGACCGCGTCCAGGGGGCTGACTCCACCACGGCGTGCACGCCGTGCATGTCGCATGGGCGTCCGCAAATGACGGCGCACCGTGCAGCTGTAAGTCATGGCGGGGATGTCGGATCGAGCCCGTGTTTAATACAAGCAAATGCATCAAGAAAAAAAGCTACGCCAGTTGCACTGAAACTCTCTTCTTTCTCGCGTGTGTTATCTCCTGTCTCGACTCGACGTCGTGTTCGCGGTGATCGCGCGCCGGTAGGATCCTGGCTCCGGCAGTGATCGCCGGTCCCAACACCCGTGTGGCGCCTCCAGGCTCCAGCGCCGCAACCTCGTCGCCGAGACGCTGCACCCGTCGCGGGTGAAGCTCTTCGCGCCGGCGCGCACGTGGGTGCGCCGCGTGCTCGTCGAGAAGCTCGGGGACTCGGGGAGCCCGGGCCTGACGCTACGCCGCCCCGCGTCGTGGAGACGTTCCAGTACGCTATGTTCTGCCTCCTCGTGCTTATGTGCTTTGGCGAGCGCCTCGACGAGCCCGCGGTGCGCGCGATCGCTACTGCGCAGCGGGAAGCAATCATCTACCGCTCCAAGAACATGCAAATCTTCGCCTTCTTCCCTGCCGTCACCAGCACCTCTTCCGCGCGCGGCTCGACAAAGCGCTGGCGCTGCGGCGGCGCGTCAAGGAGCTCCTTCTTCCGCTTATCAACGCGCGTCGGGAATACAAGAAGCGGGAGGCGAGCCGAAAGGGGAAACCACGTTCGAGCACTCGTACGTGGACACCATGCTCGACATCAAGCTTGAAGAGGACGGCGAACGCCCGCTCACAGATGATGAGATTATCCGCCTATGCTGCGAGTTCCTCAACGCCGGCACGGACACCACGTCGACAGGGCTCCAGTACGTGGGTCATGGCCGAGCTTGTCAAAAACCCAGCCATCCAGGAGAAGCTCTACAACGAGGTCAAGGCCGCCACGGACGACGACAAGGAAGAGGTCTCAGAGGAGGACGTCCACAAGATGCCATACCTCAAGGCGGTGATCCTCGAGGCCCTCCGGAAGCACCCGCCGGGCCACTTCGTGCTGCTTCACAAGGCGGCGGAAGACATGGATATTGGTGGGTACCTGATCCCCCAGGGCACAACGGTGAACTTCATGGTCGCTGAGATGGGCCGGGACGAGCAGGAATGGAAGAACCCGATGCAGTTCTCGCCGGAGCGGTTCCTCCCCGGCGGAGACGGCGAGGGCGTGGACGTGACGGGCACCAAGGCGATCAGGATGATGCCGTTCAGCGTGGGCCGGAGGATCTGTGCTGGGCTTGGCATCGCCATGCTGCACCTGGAGTACTTCGTTGCCAACATGGTGCTGGAGTACGAGTGGAAGGAGGTGCCCGGCGACGAGGTGGACTTCGCCGAGAAGAACGAGTTCACTGTCGTCATGAAGAAGCCGCTACGCCCGCTCCTTGTGCTTAGGAGGTCTCATTTGAACTAGAACTACTTTACCATTCTATTGTATGGTTTCTTGTATCTGTTAAAAGTTACGGTTCTTCAATAATTAATCGGCAGAGATTGTAACGTTCATTGGGTAGTTTCATCTTCGTGTTGATCTTGGATGGCTTGTGAATATGGAAAATCATTAGCAAAACTATGCCAATTATAAACAACAGAGCTGCTCTTCTGAAAACTTAAACTGTTGATGCATCTATCCTCAGATGCTCTTGATTCATTGTTGAGCCCTTCATTCAAAATTCTCGAGAAATAAGAAGTTTATGATGGCTTTGAAAGGATTGGTTAAACTTTCGGGTTATTGCTTAGTTCCATTAGCAGAGTGAGTCACAGAGTCTATATATTATAATGTTTTCCTGCTTGGATTCATCTTGATGAAGACTATAGATGATTCGTTTTGTAAATGAATGAAATCACTAGTGCTGTAATTCCATTGGTACGAACACAGCTGCTCCCAGATAAATGAGGTGTCGATGAATGTGTCTTGAGTCTTTCCTGATTAGTTACTTTGTAATCGGCAAGTTCGCGATGAACATTTCTTTTCCATAGTATTTTGTATTCCAAACTGACATTGAAAACTAGTTGCCTATAATTACAATCCATTAGAAGATTGTTCTGGTATTTCTTATTTAGGGATAGGGATGTGCTAGATGAGGTTCAGAATACTGTCGAGAGTTACAGTTGATCAATCATCATCAGAGAGGCTGTCCAGGTTGTGGCTTCACCTGTGAATGACGGAAATTGCTAGCTCTGCTAAGCCAGTCAGAACAACAGAGCTTATTGTGTATCTGAACCCTGCTGAGATCCGTCTTCAGTCAATCTCGATTTGCCATTGTCGAGTTGACGGTTTTGATGCTGTGAAGCTGTCGAAGTCCTGCACTAATGTCAGGGTTTTTACGTGCAGCAAGCAGATTCTGTCCCCAAGATATTTAGGTTCTGTGGCTGTTTCGACACGGACTTGCGAAAGCTAAAGAAGCATGGGCTGGGGAGCTGCCGGCTAGAAGCTAGTCGACGGCGCTTTGGGGGCAACCCCGAAAGTGTGAGAGGCTGAAACGGTGAAACCGGAAGGAAGACGCAGAAAAACTGAGACGTCTCTCTGGATTCACGTAGTCCGCAGGCGCTCCACTGCTCTAGAAAGAAACGGAAAGGAACGTGTACGCGTCCACACCGCAGAGAATGACCCATTTACGCAAAACGTGACAGCCTGAAAAAAAAAAAGAAATGATAATGATACAACGCCTCCCACCGTCCACTCCCGCACGCGCCGCTTGCTAACGAATAAAATCTTATTCCTCGCATCCTCCTTTCCATCCTTATTCCTTCCTTTCGCGCTTTGCACCACACTTCCCATGGCTGCGCTGACGGCGCCCTCCATGGCTGCCTCTCTGGCCGGCGGCGGCGCCCTCACCCACCCTGGCGTGCGCGCTCCCTCACCCCGGCGTCCTCCACCCCCACCCCGGCGGCGCCCGTGCCCCCACCCTGGCGTCGTCCTCACCCACAGAGAGCGTCCAACGCATGCGGATCCGATGGCCCTCTCCCCCACCCCGGCGAGATCCATGGAGTACGAGCGAGATCCATCGAGGTGGCGCGGTGGTGTTGCAGGGGAGTCGGCGGCTCTCCCTCACCCCGGTGCGGCGCCCTCTCTCACCCCAAGGACCGAGCTCCCCCCACCCCAGTGGCCATGGCACTCCCTGCCCCCCATCCCCACTGTCTCCACCGAGCCAAGCCCGATGCCGTTAGCGCTGGTGGTGGTGGTGCTGCTTGCGCCTGCCATCGCATCGGTGCCGGGTGGTGCTCACGCAGACCGTTATGTATCGGCTCCCCACCCCGTCGGCCGAAATCGACCGACCCATGCCTCTCTTCCCCCTATGTTACAAATATACGTTTCAATTGTTTTAGACATTTTAGAGGCATGTTGCAATAGTTTCATATGGATGTTGCGAAAGTAGACCTGGGGAGGTTGCACATGTTGCTTATGTTGCAAGTGTTTCAGAGGCATGTTGCAAAGGTTTGTTCAAACTGTTTCATCTGTTTCCATACGTATGTTGCAAGTGTTTCGATCTGGATGTTGCATATGTTTTCACACATATGAAGTGTTTTCAGGTGTTTTTTCACTACGCCAGATTTGCACATCACTGCCGGCATCATCACTGCCGGATTTGTTAGAACCGGCTGTGATGTACCTTCACTGTCGGTTATGAGCTTGAAAATGAAAAAATGATTAGGACTGGGCTAAAACCGACAGTGAAGGACCACATCACTGCCGGTGTGTGGCTTGAACCGGCAGTGTTTTGGCGGTCACTCATCACTGCCAGTTTAAGCCGCGAGCCGACAGCGATTGGGCTCTATCACTGTCGGTTCTAGCTAAGAACCAACGGTGATAAGCCTACAACACAAAAAGGCTGCAGCCATCCTCTCCTTCCTCCTCTCTTCCATCCCAACAACATAGACGCGCGTTTGGACCCTTCTCTCCATTGTTGTGGCTATTCTTCACCATGAAGCTAGTGCTAGGATTTTAAAGAATGGTTTGATCTTTTTGCTTTAAGGTTAGTAACAAACATCCACTCATTTGATTTTGTTACTTAATTAGCTTCGTTTTGATGGCTACATTGCTTGATTCTTATTCTAGTTCTTTCTTCATTCTAGAGAGCACTTTTCCAATTGGACATTTGTGCAAGGCTCAAATTGTGGTGAATCCATCATACAAACGGTTGGTGTCTATGAACACATTTAAATTTCTAGCTAATTATTGCATAGTGGTCAAGATCATCATTGTTAGTATGTGATGCTATAATTAGTTCTTAGAAGTAGAGTAGAATAGATGTTCTTCATTATTGCGCAATAATTATTTTTTACTACGATTTTCAATTTACAGGGCCAGGGCTACAAATTTCAATTTTTCAATAATTAGTGTACAATAATATTTTCCAAAAATGGTACTTTCGAGCTAAAATTATTGTTCACGAAGCTCGATTTCTTATTAATTCTTTGTAATTATTCTCTCAGTATTTTTTTGTGCAAAGATGGATCGAGAGTGGATGCATCTGTCTTAAACAGACAAGCGATACATGCATGGCGTCACCAGTTTATCACCGATGCCAAAGCCCATGCTAAGAATGAGAACCCTGTCTTCTGCTCATGCAAAGATTGCAAGAATCATAGGAACTTTCGTCATATTGAGTCTATACGATCGCACTTGATTACCAGGGGGTTCATGCCAAACTATACAATATGGACTATGCATGGTGAGGTTGGTGTGAGAGTTCTGCAGGAAAACAATGATGATGTGGACATGCCTGATGTAGCCATCCACGATGCTGACGAGGAACCCGGTGTCAATACGGAACCTATGACCATAGTTAATAATGTGTTTAGGAACACGCTAGCTGACGACACCGAGGATAAAGATAGCATTTTTCAGCTGCTACGTAATGTAGAGACCGGATGTCTTAGTGAAAGACAGCTGAGAAAGCTAGAGAAAATAAGACAAGATGGCAAAACACCATTGTATAGGAATTGTCCAATGAGCAAACCAAAAGCCGACATCATGCTGTTAGAGTTCAAATCGACAAACGGATTGAGTGATAAAGGCTTCAATCAATTGTTAGGTATAATAAGGAAAATGCTTCCAGAAAAATACGAGTTGCCAGAAAAGACATACTTGGCCAAGCAAATGATCTGCCCCATCGGCCTCGAAGTTAAAAAAATCCACGCGTGTTTTAATAATTGCATATTGTACCATGGAGAAAAATACAAAGACTTGGATAAGTGCCCCAAGTGTGAAGCTCCACAGTACAAGGAAGGGCCGTCAGATGAGGGTACCAAGACCAGAGGAGGTCCCGTAAAGGTCGTTTGGTATTTCCCTATAGCTCCCCGGGTGCATAGGCTGTTTGCATGTGCAAAGTTAGCCAAGCTGTTTGCACTGCATTGCGAAGAGTGTAAGAAAGATACAATGATGAGGCACCCCACCGATGGGCATGAGTGGAGGACTATCAATACTATGTTCTATAAGGACATCGGTGGAGAGGTAAGGCACCTTTGGTTTGCTTTGAGCACAGATGGGATGAATCCTTTCAACCAGGTTAGAAGCAATCATAGCACCTGGCCAGTGACGCTTTGTATATACAATCTTCCACCTTGGGTCTGTATGAAGCGGTCGTACATCCAGATGCCACTACTGATCCAAGGGCCAAGACAACCTGTGAATGACATCGATGTGTTTCTGGAACCAGAGATCGATGAACTAGTGGAGATGTTTGAAAAGGGTGTGCCGAATGTTTGGGACGAGTACAAAAAGGAACATGTCACGATCAAGGGAGTACTTATCGCTACAATCACCGACCTGCCAGGTCGAGGTTCATTGTCCAGAGAGAAGACAAAAGGCTATACTGGATGTGTCGAGTGCTTGGACGACACCGATGCGGTAAATCTGCCAAATAACTCAAATATAGTTTATATGGGACACCATAGGTTCCTACCTAAGGATCACCCTTACCGCAGGAACAGAAAACATTTCAACGGCACTATTGAGAAACGCTTAGCTCCAAAATATCAAGACGGTCCTGCGATACTTCGAGAACTCAACAAACTGGAGGTTGTCCTTGGGAAGGGGCATAATGCAGTAACAGCGCCTGATGGGAGCGTTTGGAAGAAAAAATCGGTTTTCTGGAAACTACCTTACTGGCCATTTCTTAGTGTACGCCACTGTCTTGATCCCATGCACATCACTAAAAACATGTGCGCTAACACTCTTAACACCTTGATGGACACCGGGGGGACATCAAAGGATTCACTAGCCACACGCCTGGACATGCAACACTTGGGAATCAGGAAGGAGCTGCATCCTGTGGAGCTAGAGAATGGCCAGTTCGAACTTCCGGTTGCGTCATGGACATTGAAGAAGGAAGAAAAGTGTGCGCTTATTTCTTTCTTCAATGAACTCAAAGTCCCGACGGGCTACTGTGCAAACCCAAAGAGGCTAGTGAA